GCAATGAATCTCTCACTTTGCTTATGAAAGGATTCGTGAGATATGTCTGTGATAGGCTACATTACTCAACACTGAAAAAAACACGTAGAAATCTTTGAAGCTCCCCTGAGCGCAATCACAAGTATGATGATGATCGGGTCAGTCGCACTGGTGCTCCTAAAAAATTTTTCTTAGTCGCATGCAGTAGTTTTGGTCGCACTGTAGAGCCCGGAAATACCTAAAATAAATAAATTGTTATTCATCTATTGCACAAAAGCAGCATGAACTAATATAAAATATAAACGATTAACAGGTGCAAGCGTATGCAGAGTTTCTATTTAGGGTTGAGCAATGCAGTGCTGAAATTTGCGTGCTCACGAATCCTCTCATTATAACACAGGAATTGTAGACCTTATGAAAGATTCATTATGCATATATTTATTGTGTTATAACAGAGATTTGTGAGATTGCGATGAACTGAGATGTCTTTTAGAGATTATAAATGCAGCGCTCTTTGCTGGCATTCTGCCATGCCAAACCATGCACGCAGCAGCCGCTTGCTTTAGTTAAAATAACAGTGTTCTGTGAATGTTGATGCTTTAATAACAAATATTTATCGGGAGCGTGTATGCTGGGATTTCATAAATTTCATGGAGAAAAAAGTAATGTAACTAGTAATGTAACTAATTACTAATTACTTTTGAAATAAAGTAATCAGAACAGTAACATGATTACTTTTAAAATGAGTAATCAGTAATCAGTCATTTGATTACATTTTCACAGTAACTTGCCCAACACTGTTCATATCAACTACCCAAATAACCTTATTAAAAAGGATTTGAATGCCACAGCACATACAGTCTAATCTAATTTTCTGATCCCAAATCTGTCATATCTTTGAAAATAACAGGATGTCTTGCTCTCTGTAAAGCTCTATAGTGTTCTTTTTAACAACTGGACCCAAAGACAGAAAGTTCTCCAACCCACGATGACTGTGTGGGCTTGAATGGACTATATGGCTTTAACATCAATTTCTGTCGTTAGTTCCACCATGTCTGTTCTTCTCAGGAAGCTGTCAGGACCCTCCAAACAGCCGGGCTCCATTTACCCGCTCAGTAATTAGCTCACTATGAAAGATGTCAGCTGCAATGGTGAGGCAGAATGGATAGGACTGCCATTACATAAATCTGCCAAGATGATTCTAATCTAATGTGACCAAATGGTCACGCTGAGACCAGAATAAAAAGCAAAAAAAAAAAAAAAACCTACGCTGACATAAAAGCCTCATATGGAGTGTGATCACATTGCTTCAGTATACCTGATTGATTCACTGTTTTATGTCAGAAATATTTCTCTAGTTATCATAAGAGTACGCAAATGGTTAGGTTTTTGATAAATGAATAAATGAATAAAGGATATATTCAAAATATCTGTCATACCTTTAACTCCCGCTCATGGTCTCCACTGCAGAGTGTGTTTAAAGAAACTTTGAATGATTTCCAGACAGGACTCAGATTGTTCATAATGGTCTATAAACAGAAAAATTACCAGTTGATACGTGTACATTATATTTCTTCCATATGTATTTCATATGCATTTGTGTGCATCTATCAAACTCACCTCTGTTCTGTGCACCAGTGATGCTGTGCCATCATCATTCACTCTGAAGATTTCCAGAAATGGATCCGACTTGCTAAAAAAGTCCTAAACAAAGAAAGAATCAAACTTATTCTTTTTTGTAAAGTAAATACAGCATCTACAAACATAAGTGTTCTGGAAGCTCTTTTGAAAAGCATTTTCATTTGGTGGCGCTAGCGGTGCAGAAATGACACACTTGAGCATTAATTAATTTTTGATAGATTCATACACTATACATACATTATTATTGCATCCTGACTTTCTCTCATTTAGAGACTGTATCTGAATGCACATCGTTTCTTGTTTTTCTAAATGGTACACTGTGTATTTAGACTAAAAGTTGTCCTAATTTTTTAATGAAAAATTAAAAATAGCAGTATATTTTAATAAAGTAGTAGATGATGCGTTGCTCCATTTGAATTTTGTCTATTCATAAACCAGAGTAATAAAACAGTAAGGAGAACAGATAAAGATCAGTTTGTTATTGTTTGTCTTAATATTGTTGCAAAGTGCCTGTTGAGCAGTTATCCAGATGTCACACCTTGTCATCCAGTTTCTTGGCACTGAAGGCAAGCTCCACGTAATCATCATTCCCAGACAGCTCTTCAGCTGTGACCTGTGGTTTCCAAGAAGTCATCGCTCAGGTTATGACAAAAGAGCATAAACTTGCAGTGTGAATTCATTGGGGGTGAGACGTCTATTCTTACTGTGATCGATGATTTGCCAGCTGTGTTTCCTTGCTTCAATAAAGCTTTGGACAGTTTTCTCTGTGATACAATCTATGAAGGAAGAGGAGAGGACATGAGGCAAACAGATACATGCATAGAGACTGCAAACCAGACTTGTAAACCCTAACAAATCTAAATATGAAGGAATTTTCCATATTCTCCTGATTTTTCACAGGTGTTTTACCTTTATGTTGAATTACGCATTGTGTTGTGTTTTAGGGTTAAAGGAAATATTCATAAATTTAATGAATAATGTTAAATTACTAGTACGTCTTTCATTTTTCTAATGATTTTTTTCTTTTAGTGTAATCTGACAAAATTCATATAAAATGGTAAATTAAATAATAGTTAAAAAAATAAAGTTTTTAATATAATATGAAATATTCTTGTTCTAGTTTATTGGAAGCTTTAGACAAATTTGTGTTCTTTTTAAAAAGTCATATTTGGTATCCGACCTATGGTAATTTATGGATCACAATGAAATGATTTTTAACATAATCTTTGTGGTAGTCAAAAACGGTTTTAAAATTTTAATGCCAACAAAAGATGAAACAAAGTTAAATTAAAAATATTTATTTTAATAAATTAATATTTAATATATTAAATTAATTTGGCAGCAACACGATATGTGTTGCAACAAGGAGGCAGACATATTAGAAATGACATTAAAAGTCATTCTACTTCATGAAGATCATGGATAATCCACCAGGAGGCAGAAGGTTTTTCCACAAATTATTGATAACTTCAATGATGAACGAACCTACAGATCTTATAAACCATGTGACAACTTTACAGCATCAAAACAATTTTTTTTCTATCATTTCAAGTGAGTTAATAAGCTAAGCCAAAGCTAAACGCTACAAGGCGCACCACATTCTCCAACAAGGCTATATTTACACGTCCACATATTATAGATGGTAATATTAAATTGGATATTTTTATCCAATTAACCAACAAGAAGCACTGAAAACAAAATCCTTCCAAAATGTACTTATCTAGCATTTTCAACTCACAAAACTAAGCATTTTCAAACCACATAATATACACTACTTGTCAATTGTAAGTGGTGAGAACTAACTATGAAAATTGACAATTTTCGTAGTTAGTTCTCACCACTTACTACTTATCCGTTTAACAGCCTGAAACAAAATAAGTGTCTGTTGTTAGCATCCAAATCCTTCAGGTCCTCACCCTCTCCTTCCCTCAAGTCCTCTTTACCCTCTTATGTTCCTTTATATACCACTGGTTGTAATCTTGTTTTATCATAGACTAGATAAAAAGAGTTTGAAGTAATAGTCCCTCTGCCCACCAGGCACCTTCCTGCTCCAGTGAGCTCTCTGCTACCCTTTTGAATCCACACAATCCCTCTCATGTACTCATCCTCTCTCTCACGCACTCATTCCATTCACTAGCTTTCATCTTCCCTACTGCGTTTCCGTTAAGTGTGCACTCTGCAATCCCTCGCAGTCACCTGTCCGAGTGTGCACTCCATGGCGCCCAGGAAGTCAGCCTCTTTGAGTCCATTATGGTTGCTACTGATGTCATGAAGCTCAAAACGGAGGCGCTGCACTTCCTCAAAATAGTAGTCCACGGTGAAGACTTTGGAGAAAACCGGACTGATGCTGCTGCGAATCACCTCTGTCCGGTCCACCTGGAACCAATCAGAACACGGCAACTGTCACACTCCAGCTCTGCTGTTTTCATTGAATTCACATTTCTAGGAACTAGGATCAATGACATCCTTTCCTGTCCTATTACAGGCTGATTGTTTGGATGATGACAATGATTTCCCCCTAATCCAGTTCATATCCTGAATCAATTCAGTTCACATTCAGTCGCATCTCAAATCAATGTCAATGGCCCTTAGCTGAATAGAACCATAGAACAATGGGGTTATTGTGCTTAAAGTGCAAATCGAGTTTGTGAAAGGTTATTAGTGGCATTACGACAATAACAAACCATTTAAAATAGCACTATACTCAATCCCAAGTATGTGCCGTCAATAATTTAGTGAATCTGACAAAGCATGTCAAGAATACACAAAATGTGGGGTCGGTGAGATTTTTACATTAATACTTTTATTCAGCAAGAACATATTGTTTAAAAGTGACAGTAAAGACTTTTATATTGTTAAAAATATATTTTAAGTAAATGCTGTTCTTTTGAACTTTCTATGACAGAATTAAGCAGCACAACTGTTTTCAACATTAATAAAAATAAGAATGTTTCTTTAGTACCAAATCAGCATATCAGATTGATTTTTGAAGGAGCATGTAACACTGAAGACTGGAGTAATGGCTGCCGAAAATTCTGAAAATGCTGAAAATTATATATATAATGTAAACATGCATAAATGTACATAAATGTATATATCATTATATATAAATTCTGCTTTGGTGAGCATAAGAGACCTCTTTCAAACACATTAAAACATCTTACTGACCCCAAAGTTATGATATGATAAATTATATGATATGTGTATGCCCCAATAATATATAATTCTTTAAAAAAAAAAAAACATTTTGCATACAGACATTAAATCTAAGGCATTAAGCCTAAAAGTCTTTATTGCACTTGCACACATTTATATTTCATTCTTTCAATTCTCATTACTGTAATGCATATGGCAATTCCTCTTTCACTACTTCCATTATATACAGTAATATTTATATATATATATATATATATATATATATATATATATATAGTATTACTAAATTAAAATCAAATTATTAAATAGTATCAGTAAAAATAATAACATTTGATAAAACTATCAAATTATATCAGTATCAATTTCAAGGGATAGTTATGAAGAATTAACAACATAACATTTTGGTTACCATTGACTTCCATTGTATGAACAAAAAAATGCACTATTTCTCAATTTCTTCTTTTATGGTCCACAGAAGGAAGAAATTCATACAAGTTTGGAACAACATGAAGGTGATGACAGAAATTATGACAGATTTGTAATTTTTGGGGTGAACTATCCCTTCAGATAATATAACTTTTTTGTCACATGACAGCAACAAGAATATGAAAATGAGACTTTTGGTTGCTTTACAATAGTGGAGAAAAATGTAGGGTGAATGTGGATAATTATCTCGGGAATAACATCCAAATGCAAGCCATATTTATGGTTCTTAAAACCTGCTTAGTCTTCTAAATATATAAAAATAAGTACCTATTTTAAGTGAAATATGAGCAGGACATTTTCTTGACAGGTTTCGTGAGATTCTCCAGACTGCTGGCCTTCAACCTACTTATATGGTTTCAAACACATCGCTTTTTTTTAAACTTCACTGCTCACAGCTGGAGTTCAAATGGCACTGCTTTATTAATTATGGATCGTACCCTTAACCGTGCCAAGCAAAACCCTGTATGCCAGAAACACCTGTTTTGTACTGCAACTGAAACCTTTCACAGATACCTAGCAAAAACGAACAGGCCACTTCACATTAGTTTTTGCAGCACTGCACGTCCTTGTCTTTGGTTTTATTAGCGAGGCACAATTAGAGCACTTTCTGTGATCTAACGGTGCTGTTTTATATTACTTTCACATCACAGGATCACAGCTGAGACTACAGTCTCAGAACACTAATCAGCCGTTGACAGGCATACACACATGCATGAACACATTCAGTTTCATAAAGAGCCAGTTCTTCTGGTAGCTTCTGTTCAGTCCAGATTAGTGTTTGTGAAAGGATTATTACTAAAGTACTGTATGCTCGGAAACTTACAATAACATCAGAAGTTTGCTAAAAAGTCACTACATGCGCAGCGATTTCAAAGTGAGGAAAGGGAGTTTGTGAGTGGATGAAATATCTAGGGTGTGACACACAAACAGCTGTTTCTTTGAAATGATGTATGAAAAAATCCATTGAAAACTGTTATGAAAAGTAGCCTACATATACGATAGATTGTGTTTTTGTGCAGGTGAAAATGAGATGTTCCTTCATGAAAAACATCATTCTGTTTGTGCTAGAGAAAACCAAACCTGAACACGAACACACCTCGAACCACTGTCCGTGGGACTGCATCTTGAGGACAACGCAGGGGTCAGGCTTGGACAGAGCATCTCTGTCAGATATTCCTTTACAGGCCACACGGAGCTCCACTTTTGTCAGACATGGGCTGTTGAAGAGGCCCAGCGTGGTGGCAGCAGACTCGTAGATGTTACTCATTTTGTGTTCAAGCTGCGAAAGAAAAGATGTTTAGTTAAAACGTTAAAGCATGATATTGAACAGATATGAGATACAATAGCATTCAAAAGCTCAAAAAGGGTCAGAAAGATATTTTTGAAGAAATTAATACTTCTATTTAGCGAGGATGAATTACATTGATCAATAGTGACAATAGAGACTTTTACATTGTTGCAAAAAAAATCTATTCTGAACTTTCTGAAAAATCCAAACTTTCTATTCATCAAAGAATCATGAAAAATATTGTATCATGGTTTCCACAAAAATCAGCAGCACAACAAGTTTAATGCAGTTTGTGTTTCTTGACGTAACAAATAACCAATGCAATAATATTTCAAAACATACCGTTTACTGTATTTTTGATCAAATAAATGCAGCATGGATGATCATAAAAGGCTTTTTTTTAATTTTTTTTTTTAAATCTGACCGACCCCAAATTTTTTAACATTAGTGTCCATTAACGTACATTGGTAGCCTCTGGATCATCTTTCTGATGGTTTACATGGTGTTTAGCTGGTGCAAGCTGCTCATACGGTCATGATGGAGACTGAAGTAGATGATAGATCATCAGCTGGTCAGGCAGAGACTGACCTGGTACATTGATCAAAATAAACCAGCTATAATTTTTCTAAAACCACCTTGACCATGTTAAGACTAAGGTGACATGCTTTTCCGGCAATAACACAGACCCAATTCAACAAAATCTAACTTTTATCACTTTTCAAAGAAGAAATGTATTATGACAACGTTCTGTAGTTCTACATTGCAGCAAACATAGTTGCTAAACTTGCTAACCAGTAAAAAA